GTAGATGTCTAGGTCAACTGGGGTAACAGAGTTCAGAAGGTAACGTTCTGCATCCTAGTTGTTGAATATACCACCTGGGGTCTTCAAAGCTGCTATTGGCCATCTAAGATATAACTACTGATCTTGTCCTGCCCGGAGCACAGGAGAATGAAGAAAACCAAAGACTCAAGGAAGTAATTAGTCCAAAGGGCCAACGGCCCACACGAACCACAGCCTCCTCTGACCTGAGACCAGAAGAACTAGATGGTGCCCAGCTCCCACTACCCACCACTCTGACCAGGACCACAATACAAAGTTACGGTTAGAGTAGGTAAAAACTGTACAACAAAATTCAAATGTATCAAAAAGACCAGATTACTGGCCTGGCAGAGACTGGAGGAACCCCTGAGACTACTGCCCTAAGACAACCTCCTAACTTGAAACTGAAGCTTCTCCAGGAACAGTCTTTTCAACCCAACAATAGACTGGCCTGTAAACTAATGATAACACTACTCTCAGGAGTGTGCTCCTTAGACAATCAACTATAAGGGACCAAAAGGGGAACATCTCCCTGAAAGTAAAGAGGAGAAGGTAGTGGGGGTAGGGGAACCCGACAAATGGAAACAGGAACCCAGGGAGGAAACGGGGAGAGAGCTGACACACTGCATGGACCACGGCCGATGTCACAGACATCTGTGCACAAATTACTGAACGGAAAACGAATTTGCCATGTAAACTTTCACCTAAAGCAAGATGTTGCTGTTGTTGTTATTTGCCACTGAGTCGGCCCTGACTCATAGCAACCCCTCCTTGGGTTTTTGAGGCAGTATCACTATGGAAGTAGGATTGCCCAACCTTCCTTCCGAGGAGTGGCTGGTGGGTTTGAACCGCCAGCCTTCTGGTTAGCAGTCAAGTGCCTTAGGCACTATGCTACCAGAGCTCCTAAAGCAAGATAAGATGTTAAAAAAAAGTGAACTCTGGAGTTTAGCTCAGCTTCTGTTTGGGGCAGTGCAAACCTGCTGGCAGCGCTGCGGAAGAAAGCCCTGGTGACCTCTTTCTGTAAAGTTTACCGCCAAGAAAGGCCCCTGGAGCAGCTCCACACTGACATAGGGGGCACTGAGAGTCAGAACTGATTTGACAGTAATGGGTTTGTTTTTTTTCCAGTTTGAGGGCTCCCTCTGCCTCTCTTTCCAAGTGGCTCAGCCTGATCCTAACTAAACCAGTAAACAAATACTTTCTTTTAGAAGGATCAGCACAAAGCTGGTTCCTATGAGGCTGAGGTAAAGATGTCCCAAACGTCCAACTTCCCCAAACTGCTGTACCACTCCACCATCTCTGACATCCACCAGGCCCCCTCCTCTCAGTACTCCCCCCCTTACAGTTCTGAAACTCACTGCAATGTCTCAGAACCCATCAACTGTACTCACAGTTAAGTGGTCTATTAGGGAAGTAATAGGGTGTAACTTGGGACGGGACCAACTTGGAAATTACAGGAACAACTCAGGACGCAGTTCCTCGATTAGGGCAGCTGCTTCTCGCCCCCTGCCACCCGGCCCAGCTGGGGACTTCTCAAGCAAGTGCGCTCCATGAGTCAGCAAACCTACTGCAGCTGGCAGCTGCCACTGTCGCTCCTGTTATAGCTCCTCCCTCTCTCTCTGTCTCCCTTTAAGCCTAGTGGGATGGCAGAACTGACCAATCCCCTGTCAGGTTCCACATACCTTATTTACATGCTCCACCCACACAGGGGCGCCAAGCACCTTATTTACATCATTAGCAAGCTATCCAATCCCTTTGGTGGACCACAAGCACCTCATTTGCATAGACTCACAGTCACTTGGTAGCAGTTACAAAGACTACGGTTTGTTGTCGTTTTTGTTGTCAGGTGCTGTCAAGTCAGCTCTGACTCACAGCAACCCTGTGTACAAGACAACAAAACACTGCCCAGTCCTGTGCCAGCCTCACAATCCCTGCTGTACCTGAGCCCATGATTGTAGGCGCTGTGTCAATCCATCTTGTTGAGGGCTGTCCTCTTTTTTGCTGACCCTCCACTTTACCAAGGATGATATCCTTCTCCAGGGAATGGTTCCTTCTGATAACATACCAAAGTAGCTGAGACGAAGTCTGCTCATTTTCACTTCCAAGGCACATTCAGCTGCATTTCTTCCAGAACAGGTTTGTTCATTCTTCTGGAAGCCCATGGAACTTTTAGCACTCTTCGCCAACACCACAACTCAAGAGCATCAACTCTTCTTTGGTCTTCCTTATCCATTGTCCAGCTTTCAATGCCTATGAGGCAACTGAATATACCACGGCTTGAGTTAGGCACATCTTAGTCTTCAAAGTGACATCTTTGCTCTTCAGCACTTTAAAGAGGTCTTCTGCAGATCGGCCCAGTGCAAACAGACCAAGTCTTGAAGGGATCCATTAAGTAAGTCCCTGCACCACAGTCTTTGGTCTAGCCATTGGTCCTAGTACAGCTGTGCCCTTGGTCCTCAGGCCAGGAGCTGGGACAGCTCTTGGGCACACAGGCTTGAGGGTACGTGTGCCCAGCCCACAGCGCCATCCTGTGGCTTCCTGGGGTTGGGTAAGGGCATCTCAGCTGAGCCCTGAGGTATTTTCCTGGGAGCCTGGAAGAAGCCTGGCCCCAGGCCGATGGCACAGGGTAAGGGTCCTACCCTCGAGGAGCCAGAAGACGGGGCGGAGGGGCCGGGTGAAGACGGCATGGAAGGTGTGCAGTGGCTGGGCCTGCGGCTCCAGGATGTAGAAGGTGACACAGCCTGAGGCCACATCCAAATCCACACCCAAGAGCCGTCCAGACACTGCCGGCAGGCGCCGGGCCTCCCCGTCGTGCCAGGCCTGGGTGCGGTCCTCCTGAACACAGAGCCCCCAGGAGCAGGGCCCACGGCCGATGTTGTCTGTGTGGGTCCCCAGCTTGCGCCGTGCCAGCTCCGGGTAGGCGATGCCCAGTGTCACTGAGTGGTTGGAGGTGCGTACCTCCCAGTAGTGCCGCCCGGCCCGGAAGCTCTGAGCACACTGCACCTGCCACAGCTCAAAGCTGCTCGGGCTGGTCTGGTCCCAGGGCCGGCGGCGGTGCTTCACCTGCTGGTTCTGGCGGGACAGGTGGAGGTGGCGGTTGGCACTGTCTGGGTCAAAGGTCAAGTTACGGTAATCTGTGGGAGAGACGGATGGAGGTGAGTAGGCATGGGTGCCTGTGCACAGCCAGTCACAGTGGGGACAGGGCTGCCATTTACGAAGCGCTACACAGCCACCAGGCACATGGCATGCTAAGCACTGGACTCCGTGCAGCACTGAATCTGCACTGTGACCTCGGGGGAAGAATCTTATACATCCAAAACAGGCGTGCAAGGGGTGAGACCAGACCAGACAGGGGCCACAGAACAGAGCTCTTGGACAGACATAGTCACAGCACATGCAACATTCATGTATTCACACATGCACGTGCACACGTGCTCACAATGCACGTATCTGCATGAAAACACACATGCACACAACACACTGCAGATGTGCTCACATGCACGCACATGCTCTCCTTGCACAATGCACACACATGCATATGCACAAATGTACACACATGCAAACATGTGCACACAATACACTGCACATGTGCTCACATGTCTGCGTGCACAGATATGCATACACATGTGTACATACTGCGTGTGTATGCATGTGAACACACGCACACACAACGCAATGTGCATGCAAGCACATGCACATACGCACAGACATGTGCACACACGTTTCTCGCACAATGCATGTGTGTGCACATGTGCCTGCAGTCACTGACACACAATGCACACGTTGCACACTCATGAGACCTCCTTACTCTGCCAGAGTTCTCTCCTCAGTGGACACATCAGACTTGGGACTGGTGCCAGGGGACCTGGGTCCTCTAAAGGACAAAGCAGCATTAGGGGATGGATGGGGATGGGAGGTCACAGAGAGGACGGGCCCTGACCCCACTCTCACCCCCAGCAGGAGGGACAACCAGGCCCGGAGGGGCAGGGACGGGATCTTGGTCGCCTTACCCCTGGGGCCCACGTCAGCAGGCTCAGCCGGCACCCCAGGGCAGTCCCCCTCCTCCAGCAGGAGGCCACCCAGCTGGCTCAGCGTCTCCTTCAGGCCTCGCAGCTGCTGCTCTTCATCCCACTGCGGAGGGGTCAGGGGCCCAAGAGGCTCTGGGGACACCAGGAGCTGTGACTCCTGAACCCCAGGAACAGCTGCAGTCAACCTGGGTGCCAGGGGCAGGATGCCACTCCCCACGCACCACCCTGAGGCCACTACCTGAAGAAAGGTCCTGTCGTCCGGCTGTCCCAGGAGGTCCCGGACCCCACAGTCATGGCGCGCCAGAGCCTCCAGGTGGTCCCGCAGACGCCGTTCCCTGTCCCGGGCCTCGGCCAGCGCCTGTGCTTTGGCTGCCTCAATGCCCCTCAGCGCCAAGGCCCGCCGCATCTCCAGGGCCTGCAGGAGGCAGCTGAACTTGCCGGAGACCATGGAGGCCAGGGTGCAGGCCGAGCTCTGGGGGGCACAGGAAGAGCCTGGGTAGGCAGGGCCAGGGCTGCACGCTGGGCTAGGGTCTAAGATGTAGGCAACCTGGGCCATGGAACCTCTTCTTCAGCCAGCTTCCTGCTCAGCCCTCACTCCCTCCCGCCAGGGGGCATTTTCAAGGTGGTTCACATGCACTGCCCTGGGGCCCGCCGCCTGAAGGGCACGGTGTGCAGATGTGGCGGGCAAACCGCACACAGGCCCCGTACCTGGATCTGGCTGCTTTGCTGCTGCAGCTCCCGTAGCTGGCCCTCGGCCTGGGCAGCCTGCTGTGCGGTCACCTCCAACGCGGCTCTCAGCTGGGCCTGCAGTGCCCACCCGGGGACGTGAGGAGAGAGAGGCCGTATCGGCCCACAGTCCCCCTCAGCCAGTCAACAAATACTAGTAGATGCAGGTGCCCCCTGCTCCTGCCAACCCAGGCGAGGCCAAGAGCGCCAGTGCAACCTGGGAGAAGACTGGATTCCCGGCCCCACTTCTGCCTCCCGTGGGCTGAGCTCCCTGGGGCAGGTCCTCCACTCTCAGGGCTGAAACTGCTCCGGCGAAGGGCACCCAGCCTCTGAGCTGTGCCCGCCCTGACGGCTTTCTGTCCTCCTCTAATTCAGTGTCATCAGCGTGGGGCACATCGACCACATTCTCCCCTGTAACCCTGCAACCAGCGAGTACTCCACCTACTCCTGTTTCCAGCCCATCTCGCCCAAGTTCCTGCTGGCCCCTGTGCAGTGACCTACCATTCCTAGAACTTCTCTACCCTCTACAAACTAACGACATAGCCCTGGTGGTGCAATGGTTAAGTGTCCACCTGCTAACCAAAGGTTAGCGGTTCGAACCCATCAGGCCCTCCACTAGATAAAGATGAGGCAGTCTGCATCTGTGAAGATTTACAGCCTTGGAAACCCTATGGGGCAGTTCTACTCTGTCCTATAGGGTCTCTATGAGTTGGAGCCGACCCGATGGCAGTGGGTTTGGTTTTCTTAATATGCTAATGACCCCACATTTGTAGCCCCAGCTCAGACCTTCTCTGAGCTCTAGATTCAAATACCTGCAACCCCTTGTCTGTACCCCAGGCACCTCCAGCCACAACCCGTCCCCACACTTCTGCTCTTCACCCACTCTTCTCACACACACAGCACAGAACCTGGAACCTGGGGCTCGCTGGTCCGCCCTCTCAGCCCCTCAGGTCCGGTCCATCCTGTTTGCATCACCTCTACAAGGCACTGTGAATCCCACTCTGTTTTTCTATCCCTGCTTGGTCACCCTGGTACCAGACAGCCTGTCTCCCTGCGTTCCTGCCACGGACGCCAACCTCACCTGGGGTCTCATCTCCGCCTGGCTGTCCGTGTTCCACACACCCGTCTGTGTGATTGATCAGTCAAACCTGAATCGGACCTCTGGCTGCTCTGCCTACAGCCTGTGGTGGCTTCCACTCCCCTCAGACCCAGATGCTGCAGTCACCGCAGAACTCCTGGTGGCCTGACCCCTGCTGACCCCAAGGGCCTCTGCTGCCTCCATCAGCCACTCTCGCGTCTCACGGATCTGCCTCCAGTGAGCAACGAGCCTGCACATTTTCCTCGCAGAAGCCTGGAGCATTCTCTGCCCTGAATACTCTTTCCTGGTCCTGTTCCTGGTGATGCTTCCTGAGCCTCAGGCGTCAGCTCAAAGTACCCCACTCCTTCCTCTAGGCTCCCTAAGTAAAATCCAGCGTGCTCTGCACGGCAGCTTGCAGGACAGGGATCCCTCTGCACAGTCTGTGATAATACGTGTATGTCTTTACTGCAGTTTTGTTCGCTCGCGTAGGTAGATTGTAAGCCTCTCCAGGGTACGGACCCCTTGAGTCAGTTACCAGTACGTGGCCCTTGCATACGTAGTAGGTGCTCACTGAACGGCTATTGGCTGAATGTTTACTGAGCACCGGCTCTAGCGGCCGCGACACGACACTTCCCGAGCCCCTGGACGGCCCTGGCCCCTCTGCTCCCTGTCACTCTGGCGCCTTCAACGCCACCTGCCGCCCCTCCCGCCCCGCGGCAGCGGCGTCACCTCGCGCTCGCGGCGCTCCACGTCCAGCAGCGTCCGCTCATGGAGTCGACACTCGAGCACGGTGCACGCGCTGCACACGCAGCGGCCCTCGGAGCGGCAGAAGAGCTCGAGCGGCCGGCCGTGGCGAGGGCAGCTGGCGGCGGGCCCGGCCTCGGCTCGGGGCTTCGGCTCGGCTCCGGGTTCGGGGCCCCGCTGGGCGGCGTGCACCATCTCCACCACGCCGCTGAGCGCCACGTTGCGGCGCAGCGCGGCGCCGTCGGGGAAGAGCTCGCGGCACTCAGGGCACTCGCGCCCGCAGCGCGCCAGCCAGTCCCCGATGCAGGCCCCGCAGAAATTGTGGCCGCAGGGCAGCGTGGCCGGGTCGCGGTAGAGCCCCAGGCAGATGGCGCAGGTCAGCTTCTCCTCGAGCTGCCTCGCTGCCATGGCGGCTGCAGGCGGCCCGGGAAGTGCAGCTCCCGGCTCTTAAAGGGGCCGCGAGCGGCGTCTGGGGAGGAGCCTGGGTGCCGGTTAGGGCGGGTCTGCGATGACCCGCCCGCCAGCAGCTGCCACTCGGGTGCCCTGCCCGCCTGGGCGGCTGCCACGTGCTCTAGGCCGACCGGGTGTTGAGGTCGGTCTCCTGATCCGTCTTGGCATCTCCGCCCACTTGGTGGACGTTCCGGTCTGGCTCCTGGGCCCGACAGCCAGCCATCTCCGGGGGGCAGAGCCTCTAGGAGCCCAGGCTTGGGATCCCGCTGGACTCGTGGCCTCCTCCTAGCTGCTCATCTGTAAGGGGGATAATAGCACCCACTCCCACGGTTTGGGAGATAAAGTGAAACTGGTAAGAACTCGGGGCACACAGTAGGTGCTCAGTAAACGCCCCCTCCTCAGGAGCACTGCCGCCGACTTTTACCTGGGCTGGGTTTTAGGCACTTGCCAAGGCTTAAGTGTCTCCCTTCCCAGAATTGTGCCTGATTTTTATTCTTTTAAACAGTGAGATGGCAATTTCTGGTCACTAAGACAGAGACCTCATGTCTCTTTGATACCCAAAGCCACTTTACACTTCAGTCCAAGTCCCCTAGCTGTGGGCCCTCTGCCAGGAGAGATTTTTTTTGGGGGGGGCAAGCTGAGCCCCACATTGTAGAGGAGCACCTTGCAGCTGACCCCTTGCCCACAGTCTTCCTGAGTGGCGTGTTGGGCCAGGTGACAGTTCTGAGCCTGAACAGAACCATTACTGTCAGGCTGATGGGTCTACTCAGCCAGGCAGACAGTCTCCCTACCATGTCGTGGGATGTGAAGTTGACTTTTCTGGGAAAGGTACATGGACCTCGACTGGACTTAGGCACCTTTTTCCTTTAGAGAAAACAAATCCTGACTGTGCAGGGAGTTGGCCCACAGGGCCCTGGAATTTGCTGTTCCCACCTGGCAGGGCCTCCCTTCCCACACACTACTGGCCGGCACCGCCCATCCACCCTCTGAGCTACAGCTCAGGAAGTATCTGAAGGTCTCACAAGCCATTTTTGGTCACTTATTCTTCAGGATCTATTTTTAGGTTTCCTCTTTGCCCTTTCTGAGTGATTTGAGCAATTATTTTGGCCAAAGGGATAGTGATGTTATTAAAGTAGAAACGGTAACAGGCGATTATTAGGTGCCATCGAGTCAGTTCCAACTCACAACCCTGTGTCCAACAGTATAAAACACTGCCTGGTCCCGAGCCATCCCTAATCACTGCTAGATTTAGCACTACTTGGCGCCATGAAAACGAGCTCTGCGGGCAATGAACCACTCTTGCAGGGCTTTTCTTGCCATGGTTGTTCAACTCTGACAGAATGAATGATTGGGTGGCCCACCAAGGGGAGGACTGCCAGCTAATAATACAAATAAGGCGCATGACATCTTCAGACAGGCAGCTCGCTGGTGGAGCGGGTGCCTCCAGGCCTGCCCGGCAGGTGTTACAAAGCTGTGCAGGGCAGAGGCTGGCCTGAGGGGCCCCATGGGCCAAGGGCTGAGAGGCTGAGGTCCGGGAAAAGGCCTGCCTATGGGCTTGGCCCAGAAGCTGTCCCGATCCAGAACTACATCCTGAGTTCTTCCTGAACCTGTACTGTAACCATTACTTCCCTAACACAGTGGCTACAAGGATGGGCTCAGACCCAGCCACTGTCAGGACGGTGTGGGGCTGGGCAGTGTTTCATTTTGTTATGTGTGGTTGCTAGGATTCAGGCACCTGAGAATTTTCCTAATAAACCCCATCATGGTACTGTCTGGTGTTGTGTGGCCACTGCAGTGACTGAACCCAGCAGAGAGTGGCATGGGAGGGACACGTGGCCTCAGCAGTGGCATGTCTGACCTCCACCTCATAGGTCAGCCCTGGGCTGTTGATAGGGATCTTGATCCTGGTCCCCACTTCTGAAGTTAGGGGGGATCAGATGCTGCCCCCACACCCTCCACAAACGCATACAATGATAGCTCAGCTGCCACACTGAGTGTCCCACTGGCTCTTAGCTGCGCTGACAGCCAAGGCAGACGGAAGCGGGACATTTTCCTTTGTGCGTTTTTTTGGAAAGGAGGCTTACACCTCTTTCTCAAGGGAGACAGTGTCTCTGGTCCTTTCCCGGGGGACGCCTCTGCCAGCGCCGGGAGAAAGGAGCATGGACGTGATGTCCCATGGCAGCATCTCAGCCACCTGGGCCAGAGCGGGGACTGCCACTCACTGGGTGCACACCACCACGTTACCTTGGTCTAGCCTCACGTGACTCGAGGCAGGTGCAGGGAGCAGGTCTCCTTTGCCAGAAGGGAAACCACCTGCCAGCTTGCCATTTCTACTCACCTTCCAACCGGAACAAGCTGAGGTGTCAGATGACCCCGAGACCCTACCTAACCGGCCCTGCGTGGTGCGCACCGGGCTGAGAGGTGATGCTCAGGATGCAGATGTTTACAGAACTCGTGGATGGCGTTTTCTTCCGCACCATCTCCGTGGGCTGGACCACACCCCCAGGTGGCACAGGGGGGCTGCTCCCTCCTGGGGAGGGAGCCAGCCTCGTCCCAGCAAGGAAGCCAAACCACCCCGCCTGGAGGCTCCAGCTGCCCCCGGAACACAGATGCAGACTGGCTACGGCAGAGACCGTCTTTATTCTGGTCCTGCAGAGCTGCCAGTCCAGCCCTGGGCCTGCTGGGAGCTACAGGGCCCAAGCCCCAGCGTGGCCCTCCGGAGCTGTGTCCTCATTGCTCCTGACAGCGGAGTAGGGCAGGGTGGCCCAAGCCCAGTCCCCTGCACAGCGGGTGGCACTTGGGCCCTCAGTAGATGCCGTAGGTGGGTTCGTGACTGTCCCGGTACCGGTCCAGGTAGCGCAGGGGCTGCCGATGGGGGAACCGCTTCTGCTTGGGGTGGTAAGGGGGAGGCCGCACAAACTCAAACACGGGCTCCCGCATGTCTGCAAGAAGAGTTGGTGGGCAGAGGTGGGGATCCTGTGCCTAAGCCCCACACCCTGCCTGCTGGCTGGGGTCTCGGCAGGGCCTGCCCGTTAGAAGAGCTCGTCCCGTACCTGCCCCTGACACCCATCGCCTGCTGTGGCCCTCAGAGACAGGAGCTGCTCCCTGGTAGGTCCAGGGGAGGCCTGAGCCCCAGCCCGCACCCCATGCCGGCCTTACTGAGAAGGTGGTGGAAGACGTGGGTCACTGCATCATCCCAGCAACACTGGAAGAAGGCCAGGCCCGCTGGAGTCATGGCTTCCTGGTGCTGCTTGTAGAAATCAAAGGTGTGGAAGGTCCGCTGGGTGAGCTGGCAGCTGAGGAGAAGAGTGCATCTGGGACCGGGGACAGGGGGCCCAGACCCGCACCCCCACCCCCACCATGCTGAGAAGCCCTTTGGGGTCTGCCAGACATACTGCCAGCCCCAAGGCTAAAGTCATAAGGCAAGTGAACGGAGTGAGAGCAACCCTCTCGGGGAGCTGGCCCAGGGCCTGGGGCGGGTGGGTTACCAGGGTGAGGGGCGGGTGTCCGCAGAGAAGTCAATCTGCTTGTCCTGCTTGAAGAGCAGGAAGACAAGGCGGTGGAAGCCGGAGCCTCGGGGAGGGAACGGGGGCAGGTAGGGACATGTCTCCTGCCCCGCAGCCACCCGGCAGCCTGGGATGTTGGTCCTGGTGGAAGGAAGATCTGTGAACGGCCACTCGAGGGAACGCCCGCCCTCTTGCACAGGGGTTGCTACAGCTCCCGGATGGACCCAGAGCGCCTCCCGTCACAAGGTGAGCAGGAAGTGGCACTGCTGCAGCTCTCTGCGAAGGGAGGGGAGGGCCCAGAGGCCGAGGCCGAGGTTCCTGAGAGCGTCGGGCCCTGAGGAGCCGGCAGGTCCCCCGCGCCCCGGCCATGTGGCCAGAACACCACACTGCCTTTGCTCTGTTTCTTTTGTTTCTTGAAAGCTCTGGGGTCTGGTCAGGGCCCGTTCGCCCGCCTGGCTCTGGGGTGACCACCGCACCTGCCCCAGGGGAACCCGAGGCTGCACAGCTGACAACTGCAGCCAATAAAAAGGGGCACAATCAGCCTCAGCCACTGGCTCCATTTCTCCCAAAGCTGCGGTTGCTGCCTGCCCTCTGTGCCTGGCCTGGCATTCAGAGCCAGGGACCACAGAGAAGACACAGTGCAGCCTGGCCTGGCGCTGTGGGGATTCCCAGGGGTTCCGCAAGCTCTCGGAGAGCACGCCACTGTTTCCAGGGACTCGTGTGGGGGGGTCACCCTCATTTTAAAGATGAGGAAATGGGCTCGGGGAGATAAGCCACGAGTCCAGGATCACATGGTTAACCCGAGGTGGGGCTGTGGTGGGCCAAGAATGAGAGCCCTTTCCAGGAAACAGCCGCCTCGCGTGCCTGCCCTCCCAGCCGGGTACTCACACCAGCCAGTGGACGTACTCGGCGTCTGGCTCCAGCAGGTGGCCATCTGCACACAAACACACCACTGAGCCCCTGCAAGGAGCTGGGGCTACAGGTCTCCACCGGCCCCTCCCGCTTCCCAGGTCCCGGAAGTCCGACACCCACCCACGTTGGTGAGTAGTAATGTCCACAGCGAGCCCTCATCTGCCTCATAGGTCACTTCTGGGGCCTGGGAGGCCTGGTGGGGAGACAACAGGGGAGCTGTCACCCACACCAGGGACGGACAGTCATTGCAAAGAGACCCCTGTAAATGGGAGGGGGGAGCCCGGGAGAGGGTGCGCCCTCTCTGATCCCAGAGCCCTCGGCAGCCCCTCCCAGGCACGGAAGGGGCCTGCAGTTTCTGCCCACAGAGCTGAGCCACACTGAGCCGCGCCCAGGACTCCAGACGCCAGGCTGGTCACAGGGCTGCGTGAACACACGGCTTCCTTTCCTTCTGTTTTTTCTTCCTTTTTTTTTGCATATCACCAAACTATCGTTTGTTGTTGTCAGGTGCCACTTCCGACTCATGCAGCCCCACGGGATGGAGGGGAGCTGCCCCACAGGGTGTTCTTGGCTGTCACCCTTTGGAAGCAGACTGCCAGGTCTTTGTCCTGTACTGCCCCAGGGTGGGTTCAAACCACCAGCTTTCCAGTTAGCAGCCAAGCACTTGCCCGCTGTACCAGCAGGGCTCTATATGGTATGTTCACCAGGAAACGAGAGCTCAGCGGCTGACTGGAAACAGGCTGGGCACGCGTGCACACAGGGCAGGGAGGAGGGGGACAGGCACATGGTTACCTCGGTTGGAGTGACCTCGTTGCCATGGTACACAGGCACCAGGTCCTCCTCGCCCACAGCGTAGGCCACACGCAGGGGGACGCGGGGCACGAAGGTGGCGCCATGAAACAGGTCCCGGTAGAGGCCGTAGTGCTCGGCCAGCCGCTGCTTGTGGTAGGGGCCGCAGGTCCTCTCCCACTCAGCCTGAACCGCCTCCAGTGGGATCCGCGCTGGGAAGGAAGACGCCAGCTGGGCTGCAGTGTGAGGACGAGGGCAGGGGCCTAGCACTCCCCTGCCCTGGGGGGCCTACCTGTGCGGAGCCGGGCGGCCTGCTCCTCCTCTGTATTGGCTCGAAGCTCCCGGAGGACCTGTTTCCGCTCCAGCAGCTGCTGGGGCCGGGAGATCTGGGGTGGAGGCAGCCCGATGTCGATCTTGTCTTCAGGATCTGCGGGGTGAACGGGGTCGGGTCAGCTTGGTTAAGGCCTCTCACTGCCCCGAGCTCTTCGGCTGAAGCTTTAATTCACAACACGAAAACACCCAGCCATCTCCTTCAGACCCCAGCGGGGCCCACTGCTGAGCTAGCCAGATCCACCTTGGGACAGCATTTTCTGATCCCTAACGCAGGTCACAAGGAGCCTCTGGGTGGTACAACAGTTAAAGCTCTCAGCTGCTGACTGGAAGGCTGGCGGTCACGTCCACCCAGGGGTGCCTCAGCAGGCCTGGTGATCACCTTCCTAAAAAGCAGCCCCTGAAAACCCTGTGAGCACCTACCCATAAACACATGGGGTCGCCATGATTTCTAATCGACTCGACGGGAACTGGCAAATGACATCACACTGTCTCCTAGGAATCCCTGGGTCACGGGAAAGCCCTGCGCATAGTCATCTCAGTTACAGTTAGGAGCCTATCTGAGCTTCATCTCAGCTGACCACGGACACACACCTGTGTCCCCAGGGGCACTGATGGCCAAGGGTAGGGGTGTCAGAGCACCCCTCACCCGTCGTGGGCAGAGCGCCCAAACTGCCTCAGAAACTTGTTAAAAGGCAGCTTCTGACTCAGCAGGTGGGGGGCCTGAGAATCTGCATTTCACGCCTGCTCCTAGGTGAGAACTTGTCACCCAACACCTTCCTCCATTCACACTGGACACTGTCGACAGTCACCAACGTGCAATTAGTCCTTATCAGGGACGGCCTAAGAATTCTAAGGGCCTGCATCCTTTAATCTTCACAACTTGGGGATGTACACATTATGTCTTACATTTGGGGCAGCAAGCTCAGGAGTCACTCTTAAGAGGCCGCTGGAGTTTAAATTGGGCTATTTAGCATGCATGCCTGTGCCCACAACCCAGGGCTTCAAGCCACTCAGTTCCCCACCTTGCCTTGCTGAGACATTGCACGTCACCACAGATACAATGAATCAGAATCATTAGTAAGTTCCCCAGATGAGTCTTAATGAATATAATGTTATTAAAATGTAGATTATGATTCAGTACATGTGGGATGGGGAAAAAGGTGTATTTTCAGCAGGGGGTCGAAATGTGAACCAGTTGGAAGCCCTGCCTTACCCACCATAAGAACTATCTCTACAAACCACTGAGACTATGGTCCCTAGCTGCCCTTCAGGTCTGGAATTGAACCCACACCTGTGGCTTCCAGCCAAACAAAAGACAGGCATGTGAGTTGAACATTTACATGAGGTAGATACACTCCTTGGAGAGAACGATCACGGGAGAAAGAAAGGCTGTTTATGCACAGGGAGACAGCTCAGGGGGCAGGAGTGCAGGGAGGGATGGACACAGGGAAGAGGTGACTATCAGGAGGAAATGGTAGGGGAGCTGTTGCATTGGGGTAAACTAGTCAATGTCATGAGACAAAGTGTATGTGAACTGCTGCATGGAAAGTGAATTTGCTCTGTAAATTTTCACCCAAATCACAATAAATAAAAAAAATAATAGAAAGAACTACTGCCACAAATGCTTTCTAAAGGGACGTTGTAGTCAGCAGGTGTGAGGGTGGGGTCCCTAAGTGACCTTGCCCTGCACCTATCAATTTCATTCAGCAAAACTGTACACCAAAGTGCCAGGCCCTCATGATGAGTTTACAAAGGTCCAATGGTGGGCAAAATAGGCGGGATCTCTGTCCTCAGGGATCTTACACTCTGGGGGAGGGGCGGCAAAGAGAAGAATTCTCAGGGTGGCCAGGGCTACACACAGGACATTTTAGGGGCACAGAGTCTTAACTCGGAATTTGGGGCCCACGAAACGACTTTTGGGGCTGGACCTCTACTGGTGGCAGGAGGGACTGTTGCAAGGAGGGGGTGATTTCTGGCGAGGCGAAATCGTCAACAGCGTACAAAGGATCCAGCCAGGCGACCTGTACCCACAGGGCCAGCAAGGGTCGCTCCGCACACGAGGAGGGTGCTGGCCGGCTCCCGGGCTCCGCGGAAGACGCCCACAGCCCCGCTCCGGGCGCCCCGCACCTGACTTCTTCCCGAAATGCTCCCAGTAGGTCCGCCACCAGCGCGGCGCCCGCGCCTCCGGCTCCGCCTGGCGCCAGTAGCGGTCGAAGCTCCGGTACTTCTCCAGCCGCTCCAGGTTGCTCACATCTATGTTCTCATTGGGCATCGGCCCCAGCGGGGCAGTCCGGCGGCTGCAGGCAGCTGCAGGCAGAAAGCAGGGCATCAGGCCGGTCCGGCCCTTCGAGAGCCGCAGCGGTCCGGTCTTCTGCGAGCCCCTGACCCTTTGGGCCCTCACCCGAGGTGCTGAAGGCCCGCCATCGACGACCGCCGTTCAGCGTGGCTCGCCACCAGGGAGCCGCCATGTTCGCCCCGCTCGGCGCAGCCGCCGCCTCCGCTCCTAAGACCCAGCCAGAGGTGGCCGCGCAGCGCCTGAGTGCGTCGCGGAAGGCTCCGCCCCCGCCTTGGCACCGCCCCACCTTGGGGTTCGGCGGGGAGGTAGGCGTCTATCGCTACCGGGACCTAGTCTTCGCGTTACACTCTTGCCCGGGCCCCAGACTCCTTCTTCTCCCGGGAAGTCCAAGCGCGTTCCGCCCAGGCTGGAGGAGGCTGGGGCGCCCCATCTACGAATATGCCGGGAAAGCTGGGCAGAGCTGCGAGCGGCTGGGCCCCATGCCCGCGGCCGCCGCCAGGGGGCAGCACAAATCGCGAGCGGCCGGCCTCCCGGCCGGCGGAACAACACTCCGGCCCGCGATGGCGGGTGCTTTGCGAGGCTGCGGGTGCGAACGAACCCACACAAGCCCTGAACGTGGCACCCCGAGCTCGCAGTGGTGCTGACTCATGGGCGAGGAGGCAGGAACGAGCTCGGGGCCGGGAAGCAGACTGGGTTCAGATTCCGGATTGTGACATTCCCATCGTCCTTGCTGTGTGATTCAGGCTCATTTGGTGGTGGTGGTGGCGGGGGAAGCAGGTAAAAGTGCTTACCAAATAGGGTTGCTGGGAAAATGAAATGTTTGTGTAATCTGTTAAACTGTCTCTGCTAGCTTTTGAGCCTTTCCAGGTATTATCCACACAGCAATTAAGTGACTTGGGTAAGACACAGATGGAATTGTGCCTCTCCCTAAACCTTGCAGGGCTCTGCCTTGCTCCTGCGATCCATTTCCAAGGGAAAACTTGGCAGTCTGACGACTTGGCCCCTCTTCTGCCCCAGCTCTGGCTAATCTTTCCTGAAACCCAGGTTCTACACCAAACTTTCATTCACTCTGACATACTTTGCTCCCTCTGGCCACAGGGCCTTTGCACATGCTGTCACCACTGCCGTCCGCCCCCTCACCTTTACCCCTGTGGCCCAGCTACCTCGCAGTCCTACTGGAATGGTCCCTCCGGGACACCCTGAGCCAGGGCTCATCACCAGGTCAGTTGCTCCGGCACCAGTAGGGGCTTGGGCCCTTACATGCGTGTTGACACAGGATGAGGGGGTCTCTCCACCCAGGAGGAAGCAGCCACGTGAAATTGGTTTGCATTGATGGCAGCCAAACAGCTAAAGCACTCACCATCATTTCCAATTCACCCACCAGCGAGCACCTACTATGTGCCAGACGAGGTGGTGTGGAGGGGAAATGCTGCAAGGCCCAGGCCTGCCTTAAGGGACTCCCACTAGTTCGGGACTTTCCTACTGAGTGCACAGCAGTGGGGGCGGTGGCTGTCAAAGCACTGGTCTGGGCCTCGGGCCTGAGGAGGTCTGGTCCTGGAGCTGCTCTTACTGTTCTGCTCACATGGCCCCTCCTTTCCTTTGTTGTAGCTTTTCCTTTTGTTTCTGGATTCTCCGCCCCTTGACTGTAGCCCCGCCCCTTCCACCTGGGCCCGCCCCCATTTCTCCCCACCAGTTCTTAGACAGGAGGCTACACAGGCCGTCTGAGGTCCTGGGCACAGGCAGCGGTGCTCGTCACTCGGGTTTGGGTGTTCCTCTGTTGGTCCTTAGTTCTGAGAACCGTTCCTGTTCTCTCACCATTCTGGAGCCCCCAAGAGTGGGGCTTCCTTAGAATTTATTTGGAAGGCCTCACACTGCTGCCCACATCTCGTCTTTAAACATGAATCTTAACTCTAGATGGGCGGTACCGGCCCCACCAGTCTGTCATCACTGTGACTCTCTACCAGTATTTCTCAGTGCAGGGGACTGAAATAAGCATTAGGGCTCCGACCTAGAGTTGTTTACAGTTTTGCCGGGAAAAGAGACCAGATACAGGGCACTCATTCCTGTATGCGTCCCACACATGGAAGTTAATGCTATACTTAGAGGATATTAGGTAACCTGCCTGCCTGCTTTAATGCCAGTGACATGGGGCATTTGCAGGCACTGAATAAAGTGTCATTTGTTAAGTGCCTATGGACCGTTTTTGCTTGGCCATCTTATGAGCACTGTATTCCTGATACCACCCAGCTGTGCACCCCAGAAGCCGGGGGCCCTGACATGCCTCCCTGCCTGGCCCGCCCAGTCCACAGCCCACTGTGTCCGTCCTTCCCAGCACTGTACGTGGCCCTGTTCTCACAGCCAGAACAGATTTTCTAAAATGCAAACATGATCCAACCATGTTTTGAATCCTTCAATGGCTACCCGCTGCCCTGAAGATAAAGTTCAATACTCTATACAGAGCTCATCATCTTACTTTCTGCCTTGAAGGTGGGCCTCCCTCCACTGACCCCCATGTGTGGACCACCTCCATTTCCTCCAGTAATTGCTCTAACGTGGCTGTTCCTGGACTGCTGGGCCCACCATCGGATCCCAGCTCTTGGCATAGCTGGCTGGTGGAGGCACTCGCCGACAGCATGTTGAGAAGGGACGCCAGGCTTCACCAAGGGCTTCTACCCGGGCACTAGCCCAAACAGACCTTTACAGTCCTCTTCCTCCAGCAGCGCCATGTGCGCGTTCCTCCAGGGGGCAGAAAGGAGCCGTGGCTGAAGCCTGGGGCCTTGGAACCTGTCCGACTAGAACCCCAATCCAGGCTCTGCTGTGCACTGTCACCTTGCGCAATTTACTTTGTAATCTCTACCCCTTAGTCTGGTTGTCTCAGATACTGGGGTGATGATAAGGCCCTTCCCCCCGCCATGGTGCAACTATCAGCAGCCACCCCGGATCGTAGGTGTGGAGGGTCACGGCACCTGGCCAGAGGCCCCGAGCCAGCGTTTTACCGGCAGGTTTTTCACAGGAACTCTGGCCTGCTCCTTGGGAGTTGTTTGGCAGCATGTCACGGAGCAGACATTCTAAGTACAAACTGATTGGAATAAACATTGTTGATGACTTGATTCTAACCACAGTGACTGGGAACTGGTTCTCTAGAGAAGCAAAGCCAGTGAAGCTTATGTACATATTGTACGTAAACCCAAGGACATATATATGTTGTTGTTGTTAAATGCCATCGAGTCGTTTCCGACTCATAGCGACCCCATGCACAGCAGAACGAAACACTGCCTGATCCCGTGCCAGCCCCACAATCCCTGCTATACTTGAGCCCATCATCGCAGCCACCGTGTCAATCCATCTCGTTGAAGGCCTCCCCCTCTTTCAT